CTCACTGACATTTTGCAAAACAGAAGCACACCCCTCTGTGACCCCAAGCTAGGTGGTATGGTCTTGTGTGACAGTGTTGGATGTCAGCCTGGTTTCTGAAGATTAATTTATTAACTCTTGTAGAATTCTGAAGATTAATTAATTTCAGAGCTTGTGGTTGTCTGTGACCTTGCAGCAAGATCCTTATTCAAGGTCTCTTGTCTGGGATGTTTGAGCTGATAGTACAGGTGTACTTCAGGACTGTTTAACCCCATATTGTGTGTAGTCAAAGCAACTGTGTTCTATTTGGAAGGAAAAAGAGAATATTATCTTTACAACATGGGAGACCCAACTGGGAACAAGATTGGGGGCAGTGGCAGTTTGGCTGAGTCCATAGCTCATTTGTAAGATAGCGTTTTAACCCAGCCTGTGTCGTGGCCCCTGCATCACTATGTTTCACCTTGGTCTGCTGTCTCGCAGCTCTTCTAAGAGCTGGCTAATGCTGTTTCCTCTTACGGAAGAAAAATGTGGCTTAGAATAAGGACAGTGGAACCCTTTATTGTTGGCAACGAGCCTTTATTTCCCACATCTCATGGGGATGTTCCAGGAGGAGAATGGTGAGCACCGAGGCAGGGGCTGCATTTTTATTGATTCATGAGCCGTTCTAGACTTAACTGAGTATGGACACAGGGTCCCGTTTCCTTGGATGCATAGCAGATAATCATGCTTCTCCTGAACATTTGAATTGCTTTCCAGGTGGTCTTTTCTGAAGGGTTTATCTTTAATATGATTAATCCGAAGCAGAGGGCCTCCTGGGAATGTAAATTGGTGCAGCCACTATGGAAAACAGTATGGAGAGTCCTCAAAAAATTAAAAATAGAGTTGCCACGTGATCCTGCAATCCCAATACTGCATATACATCCAGAGAACACTCTAATTCGAAAAGATACGTGCACCCCAATGTTCATAGCAGCACTGTTTACAACAGCCAAGACATGGAAGCAACCTAAGTGTCCATCAACAGAGGAATGGATAAAGAAGATGTGTTAGATATGTACAATGGAATATTACTCAGCCATAAAGAGGAATGAAATAGTGCCATTTGCAGCAACATGGTTGGACCTAGAGACTATCATACTAAGTGAAATAAATCAGACAGAGAAAGGCAAATATCATATGACATCACTTATATGTGGAATCTAAAATAGGACACAGATGAACTTATCCACAAAACAGAAACAGACTCACAGACATAGAGAACAGACTTGTGGTTGCCAAGAGAGAGGGGGCGTGGGGGAGAGATGGATTGGGAGTTTGGGATTAACAGAGGTAAAACATTATATATAGGATGGATAAACAACAGGGTCCTACTGTATAGCACAGGGGACTATATTCAATATCCTGTGATAACCCATAATGGAAAAGAATATAAAAAAGAATGTATATATGTGTATAATGAGTCACTTTGCTGTACACCAGAAATTAACACATTATTAATCAAATACACTTATATTTTATATTAATCAAATATACTTCAATAAAATTTAAAAAGAAGTATATATAAAGAAGCAGAGTTCCTCAATATGTTTGCCTACACCCCACCACTGTTGGGGTGGTGAATGCTCTTCTGGACACACCCCACCTGGGCCTTTTCTGAGGAACTGGACCTTGGACTGAAAAAAAAGTTTTAAAGGGTCCTGGGTAAAAGCCCTGGGGCGAGGAAAATGGTGTAGAGTATATCCTTAGGGAAACATCAAGACATTATTTATTATACAGAAATAAAACACAGTTTGTGTGTTCAATAGGGGAAGAGTTAGATAATGTCCATTGGGCCAGGAAATACCATGTAGCCATTAAATAATACTTAATAGAGAGTTTCTACTGCATTCTCTCCCTTCAAATGTCATTTAAAATGTTCCTCAACTCCCTGTATGTAGTAGGAAAAAGAAGTGTTCATGGAAGTGAGGCCAGTGTGGGTTACTCTCTTATTTAACCCACTTCAAGCCCTGCAGGCAGGGCCATCATTTCCAGTTTCCCAGGAGGGGAAGGCCATTCATCCATTAAATATCTTGCCAAAGGCCTGACAGTAAGTGGAGGTCTGAATTTAAACAAGGACTTTCTGTCTTCATCTTTAATAGGAGGCTCTTTCTATTACACCAAAAGTGCCCCTGTAGGTTTGATGTAATTCTGCAGACCCTTCAAAGACGCGGCTGCCCTCCTGGGAGGCCACCGCGTGTCCTTCCATTTGTATCCACAGAAGACAGAACTGTTTGCACCATCAAACTCTAGAAAACCCAACAACAGCATTGTATTTAATGGGGGAAACTTTAAAAAAACTAGATCATTCACAGGGGCCTGCTAAGCCCTACTGGAGCCTGAGGCAAAAAGAAAAAAATCAGTCATACCGATCTTTATTTAAAATTTTGATATTTTGTTCATTGTGGCTTTTTTTCCATTAAATTTTGATATTTTAAAAAGTATTCCATTAAAGTTGTATCTGTTTTGATTCCTGAGTTTTTTTGGCGCCCTGTTACATTTTGCACCCAAGGCGAGTGCCATGCCTGCCTTACCCTGGACCAGCCCTGGTTAAAAAGTAAAGGCATTTTCATTACAATTGGGAATAAGTCAGGGGTGCCTCATCACCACTGTCATGTAACTGTGGAAGGGCAGTGCAGCCAGACAAAATGCTGGAAAAGAGAATAAAATTATCAACTAAACCTATTGGAATTTAAAAATGGGCTTATAATACAAAAGCAGTAGGGATATTTTTCTATGTACCAACAATAATCAGATATATATGATAGGAGAGAATATCCATTCCCCATGGCTACAAAAACTAATATGTCTTAGAATCAGCTTCCTCTGACATGTCTACAGCTATAAAGAAACCCAAAGTGCTGTTGACATTTAAGACTTGAATAAATGGGGAGATATTTCTTGAGTGAAAAGACCCAATGTTGTGTGTATAAAATTTCATCATTGTTGGGCAGTAGAAAATAGTGGGAGATGATTTTGCAGCGAGCTGGCAGCAGTGGCTTGGCCACCTGGATTTTTTTGTTGAGGCGAGAAAAGGAAGGATCCTTTATTTTTAAAGAGTGGACAGAGGTGGGTTGTCCTCGGCCAAATCTGCTTGCTTCAAGGGACAACGTGCATGCCACCTGGAGCCAGAGGAAATGTGTTCTGTCTGACATTGCCTGGGCCTGTGAGCTGCACCCCATCCCCAGCTGCAAGGAGTGCAGATTTCCTATGAGGAGGCCAAACATCTCTCCTTGAAGCAGGCAAATCTGTCCACTATCTGGAACCCTTTATTACCTTGAAATATTTGGCCCATCTGAAAAGCATACATGCGGAAGGTAGGAAGCAGCTTAGTTTCCTCCCAAACAATCGCCCCAGTGGTTTTCAAATTTTGTACACATTAAAAACCTGGATGCCCTATCACTGCTCTACCAATGAACTTGGAATGTCAGGTGTGAGTACCCGTAAAATTCCCCAGGTGGTTCCAGTGTGCAGCCCAAGTATCCCAATACCCCTCACCAAATAGACTATTCTTTTCCACATGCCTTAGGGTGACCAGCCATCCTGGTTTTAGCACTGAAGGTGCTGTGTCCTCGGAAACTGTGTTCAGTCCCAGAAAACCGGGATGGCTGGTCACCCTACATGGTAGAGACTACATTCCTACGTGAACGTATGTCTGTTTCTCATCTATACCATTTCTGTCTGTCCAGCAACACTACCATGCCATTTTAATTACCATGACTTTAGAGTATAGTTAAATGCTTGATAAGGCAAGTTCTCCTCACAGTCTCATTTTTTAGATCTTTCCCAGCTATTTTCACAAGTTTGTTCCTCTAAATGAACATAAGAATTACTAGGTCAAGGTTTCCCCAGTATTCCACTGAGATTTTGGCTGGGACAGCCTTAAATTATAGATTACTTTGGACAAAACTCTAATTCGTAAAGATACATGCACCCCTATGTTCATAGCAGCACTGTGCACAATAGCCAAGACATGAAAACAACCTAAATGTCCATTGACAGAGGAATAAAGAAGGTGTGTTACATATGTACAATGGAATATTACTCAGCCATAAAAGAACAATGAAATGATGCCATTTGCAGCAACATGGATGGACCTAGAGACAATCATACCAAGTGAAGTAAGTCAGAGAAAGACAAATATCATATGATATCACTTATATGTGGTATCTAAAAAAAAGATATAAATGAACTTATTTACAGGACGAAAACAGACAGACATAGAAAAGAAACTAATGATTATCAAAGGGGAAAGGGTGCGGGAGGGATAAATTAGGAGTTTGAGATGAAAAGATACACACTACTTTATATAAAATAGATAAACAACAAGGATCTAATCTATAGTTCAGGAGACTATATTCAATATCTTGTAATATCCTGTTGTGGAAAAGACTCTGAAAAAGAATATATATATATAACTGAATCGGGCTTCCCTGGTGGCGCAGTGGTTGAGAGTCCGCCTGCCGATGCAGGGGACATGGGTTCATGCCCTGGTCCGGGAAGATCCCACATGCCGCGGAGCGGCTGGGCCCGTGAGCTATGGCCGCTGAGCCTGCGCGTCCGGAACCTGTGCTCCGCAACGGGAGAGGCCACAACAGTGAGAGGCCCGCGTACCGCAAAAACAAAACAAAACAAAACAAAAAAAACAAAAAAACTGAATCACTGTGCTGTACGCCTAAAAGTAACACAATGTTGTAAATCCACTATACATCAAATAAAAAGAAAAAAAATGAGAGGGAAGTCTCGAATGAGTGGGGAGTTGGGGGGAAGCAGCAGGCGTCCTGGGGGTCGTCGGGGACTCCTCATCCAGCCCCGGTGTCCTCCTCTCTCTTTGGCAGGTGTGTGTGCCAGTCCTGACACACCAGTCAGCTGGGGTGGGGCGTCACATCGTTTGAACAGACTCGCGTTACATCGCTCTGGTGTAAACCGTGCTGGCGGGGCGTGCTTCTCGGGCTCTGACTGTCCTGTCCCCCCTTCCTCCCCACAGTGGCTGCCCCTTGGTGACAATGGCCGCGTGACTGCCTGCCATGGCCCACCGGAAGCGTCCGAACACGGCGAGCAGCATGCTGGACCACAGGGCAAGGCCGGGCCCGGAGCCCGAGAGCGAGGATGCAGAGCTGCCCCTGGAGGAGTACGTGCCCAAGGGCCTGGAGCTGGCGGCCCTGCGGCCCGAGAGCCCTGAACCCACCGAGCAGGGCGGCCACGACCACAGCCCCGACGGGGACTCCAGCTCCGACTACGTGAACAACACCTCTGAGGAGGAGGACTATGACGAGGGCCTCCCTGAGGAAGAGGAGGGCATCACCTACTACATCCGCTACTGCCCCGAGGACGACAGCTACCTGCAGGGCATGGACTGCAATGGGGACGGCTACCTGGCCCACGACGCGCGCCACCTGGAGACAGACGAGTGCCAGGAGGCGGTGGAGGAGTGGACGGATCCGGCAGGCCCGCAACCGCACGGCCACGGGGACCAGGGCAGCCCCGGCTACCGGGACAGCCACCTCCCCACCCCAGAGGTTGAGGCCTCTATGCTGGAGGCCCAGGACCAGGAAGAGGGTGTCCACTACTGTCCCGGTGAAGAGGCCTACCAGGACTACTACCCCACTGAGGCCAACGGGAACGAGGGCAGTGCATCCCCCTACCGCCCGAGGCGCGGGGACGGGGACCTAGAGGACCAGGAGGAGGACATCGACCAGATCGTGGCCGAGATCAAGATGAGCTTGAGCACGAGCAGCATCACCGGTGCCAGCGAGGCCAGCCCTGAGCACACGCCGCTGCGGGCGCCCGAGCCGGGGCCCGGGGGCTCCTCGGAGGCCTGCCCGCCTGCTGAGGCCCGCCGCGGCCCCAGCAGACACGAGGGCCGGCCCAAGTCCCTGAACCTGCCTCCCGAGGCCAAGCACCCCGCAGACCCCCAGAGAAGCTTCAAGACCAAGACCAGGACTCCCGAGGAGAGGCCAAAGTGGCCCCAAGAGCAGGTAGGACCTTAGCTGTCCCCAGGGAAGGGGATGGAGGGGCCCGGAGAGCAAAGGTGCTGCTGTAACCTGTAGATCAGAATGCGTGCCCAGCTCTCCATTCCCTCAGTTATGTGTGGATGGCCCAGCCACTCCTGTTCACCCATCAGGTGCCTTAGTTAAATGTCAAGAAAATCTGGTGGAAGGCTGATTGGCAACCAGAGCTCCCAGGAGACACCCCAGCCCACCCAGAAGAGGTTGGGTCTTAGTGTGCTTGCCCTGGATCTGCTCACGTGGGGGTGGTCCCTGTGACGGTTGCCCCTCACCAGGGGGTTTCTTCAGGCTGGCCGGACATCGGCAAGGATGCCGGGCTACTGGCGAGTGCAGGCAGCTGCGGCCGGTGGTTGGGGGCAGCCTAGCGTCGTGAGTGCATTTCACTGGGGATGGTTGTATCGGGTGACACTTCTCTGAAAGCCTGGGGGCCTTGACATGATGGGCGATTAGCTGTAAAAAACCGTTTTGCAAATGATTATTTGAAGGTTTGACAAAGTCTTGGAGAAGAGATGTATGCTAATGAGGCCAGTGGGTTTAAGCGTAACTATTTTCTTTTAATTATAACAAAGTGAGTGTGTATTCTAATGAACACTCTTGACAAGCTGCCTTTCAAAAAAACTTACGTGTATATAGAAAGAAGATGTGAATATTAGACGCATGTAAAGGAACTTCTGTTTAGCTAAATCTGTGGACAAATGAGAATGAACTGCTTTCATATTTTTTAAAGGCTTCATTAATATTATTTTTTTCCCAGAAGAGTTCATGCATTTGAAAAGTATAGTGAGAGCTCGTGTTTGGGCAGCAAGTCCTATCGACTCACTGTAGGTTTCTGGAACTTCCCTTTGATGTTTTTTTTTTTTTTTAAAGATCGTTAAGCATAAATTGACTTCGCTTTCAGGGTCTTCCTGTCATTTGAGGCCGTTCTGTGTGTGCTGGGGGCTTTGGGGTGTAAAGAAACTGCTGTGCGCTAGCGGATGTGGAGGGAGCCCCCCAACAATAGCGGCGGCTTTGGGGTCAAGGTCTGGGCTTTAGGGAATAGTACTGCTGTCCTTCTGCAGTCCTGGCAGGGCTGGACTCACCACCCAGCAGCGGCAATGGTGCCGCAGGTCGATGTGGACCACGCGAGGCAGATGATGTGCTGAGCCTCGCCAGGACAAGTGATGCCCGGACAAAGTTCTAGTCAAGAGAAATGATCTCTAGGGCATATGGTGGGGAGTGGACGAGACCTGATGTTGGGCTTTACTTAAAGCACATGCCAGTTTGAGTGAAAATGCAGCCCTTTGGGTTGGAGGGCTGGGGGTGGATGAGGGTGGAGGTGGGGGCCCAGAGGAGGTCTGTTCTTCAGACGTGGCATTGGGTGGAAGGGCAGGTACCTTTTCTCCCCAAATAGAGTGTTTCCTTGAAACAAATGCTCTCTTCCAAGACCCCGGAAAGGCTCATTTATGCTGGTTTATTATTGCCTAGCTTTTCTGGCTTTATTCACTCATTCATTCACAAGTTAATTCCATCAAGGGGAGAGGCTGGCAATTCCCAGCTCAGGGTGGACAAGGGCCCCCGAAAAAATTGGCCTCCTCTTGAGGGCTCTGCCTTGGCTGGGTCGTCATGTCTTGTAGACCAAAATGGCCCATCCAGATGAAGAACACTTTGAAATTTGATCAAGTAGACCCGCTGGTGACAGGAACCCTCTTGAAAGCAAGATGTGTCTGTGTGTGTCTGTGTGTCTGTGTGTGTCTGTGTGTAAAGAAGGAAGTTCCCTGGGAAGTTTGGCAATTCCTTGCTTCAGACCACAGCCTACCTTTCTAAAAGGAACCCCCTTCTACCCTGGGAATATCCAGGCCGTGTGGCCAGCAAAGTCCTGGCCCCCAACAGGTGCACAGGGTGCTCCTGAGTCCCACGCCAGCCCCCCCCAGTACTGTTCACACAGTGAAGGCTGTGGTGGAAATCACCTGAGGGAGAAATGGGCAGCACCTAGGTGCTTAGACTGTTGGTTTGTAAAGCATGGTCCACAGCCCAGCACCACCGGCGGCCCAGGACTGCCAGGGCCAAGCCTGCATTTTGTTTTGTTTTTTTTTCATTAGTTTTTATTGGAGTAGAATTGATTTACAATGTTGTGTTAGTTTCTCACGTACAGCAAACTGAATCAGTTATACATATACATATATCCACTCTTTTTTACATTATTTTCCCATGTAGGTCATTACAGAGTATTGAGTAGAGTTCTCTGTGCTATACAGTAGGTCCTTATTAGTTAAGGCTGCATTTTAGCAAGATGCCACATGCAGTTTGAGAAGCAATTCTTGGAGGGCTGCTGTTGGAGGAGAAGTGAGTAGATAGCATCCCTCCTTCCTTCCCGTCATTTCAAAGCTCGAAAAGTTATGTCGTGGCTGCTTCTAAGAGTGCTGAATAGCACTTCACTCAGTCGCTGTATGGACAACAATATTACAATAGAATTAGAAATGGGACTGTGGTTCCCACCTTCTCAGACTCTGGCACTGAGCATAAACAATGTCTCTAGCTGCCATCGTGGTCCCACGTGTGATTCTGCCATCCCGCTTTTAAAATCTGACATGTTGTAAATGTCGCTCCGTGTTGTCATATCATTTTCATGATCCTTTTTGCCAACCTTTGAAGTTCAGGCAATGGGCCACCTAATTGATTTGTCTGTACACATCCTGCCGTGGAGCCTGCAGGTTGCGGATGGCATTTTCTTTTATATACAGGACTATACAGACCTCTTTGTATGAGGGAGGCAGGTTTTCCTCCTTTGGATTTATTACTTGAAGATAAATTCCCAGGCTATGCATGAATTCTGACCCCATGATCCTCTTGTCTGATGCTTTATTTTTCTTCTATGAATGATTGGTGCCTTTTATCTTTTGGGGTCTCGATGCTTTTCCATTTCCTAGCAGCACTTTATGCATGCACCACAGATGTTATTTTTTGCTGCAGATGTTTTTCTTTAGTCTCGTTTCTTTGGAAAAGGCTCCAGTTTGCAGTTAGAGCTGCCCGCATGCAGCTCTGAGGAGACTGAGAGGTCTGCACAGGGGCACACAGGTCTGGAGAACCTGAAGGAGGTGGACTTGGCATTGCGGGAAGCTAGGGTGTGATCATGGGGAACAGAGGAGACCCGCGTGTGAGTGTTTTTACAGGAAAAAAGTTTTCTCAAATCATTGAAAGTTTATTAAGGACATTTTGGAAAATAGAGGCAAAAAATATTTTGCCCTGTGACATTGTAGAATTCCAGCATTGAGTTTTCATTTTGCAGTAGCCTACATGGGGAAAGAATCTGAAAAGAAATATATCTATAACTCAAGTGACTTTGCTGTACACCTGAAATAACACAACATGGTAAATCAACTATACTTCAATGAAAAATAAATTAATGAAAAAACAAAACAGGGCTTCCCTGGTGGCGCAGTGGTTGAGAGTCCGCCTGCCGATGCAGGGGACACGGGTTCGTGCCCCGGTCTGGGAAGATCCCGCATGCCGCGGAGCGGCTGGGCCCGTGAGCCATGGCCGCTGAGCCTGCACGTCCGGAGCCTGTGCTCCGCAATGGGAGAGGCCACAACAGTGAGAGGCCCGTGTACCGCAAAAAAACAAAAAAAAGAAAGAAAGTTTTCAAATCAAAGAGACAAATTGCCTCTCAGGATTTCCCCCGAAGCATCTGCTTAGAGGTGTTCTGTAAACAAGGTGTGCCTGATCCTTATTTTGCATGGATTCGGTATTTGTGAATTTGTCTACTCACTAGAGTTTATCTGTAACCTTAAAAATCTATACCCATGGGCTTCCCTGGTGGCGCAGTGGTTGAGAGTCCGCCTGCCGATGCAGGGGACGCGGGTTCGTGCCCCGGTCCGGGAGGATCCCACATGCCGCGGAGCTGCTGGGCTCGTGAGCCATGGCCACTGAGCCTGCGCGTCTGGAGCCTGTGCTCCGCAACGGGAGAAGCCGCCAACAGTGAGAGGCCAGCGTACCGCAAAACAAACAAACAAACAAAATCTATACCCATGGCACTTATGCAGTCCTTTTCGGACATGCACAGACAGGCAAAAAAATTGAGTCATTCAACACGCCCGTTCCCAGCTCAGTTTGAACAAGGAGATGCCCTGCCCTCTTTCAGCTCGCACTATGAAAAAGTGTCCTTTTTGTGGTCCTTTTAGTGCCGTGTCTTTTGCATTTGTGTGCTTGTTGCTGGTGATAGAATGACCCCCAAGTGCAGTGCTGAAGTGCTGTCTAGTGTTCCTAAGCGCAAGAAGGCTGAGACGTGCCTTTTGGAGAAAAACACGTGTGTTGGATGTTTCATTCAGGTGTGAATGACAGAGCTGTTGGCCGTGAGTTCAGTGTTAACATATAAGAACATGGTACATTCAGAAAAAGGAAGAAGTATTTGCCGATCTGTACCTGGGGCTGCTCCACGGGGTGCTGGAGTAACAGCTACAGTGTGTGAGAGACTGATGGAAAAGTGGCTAACTTTGTGGATTTGTGAGATGACCACCCATTAAAAAACATCTTGTTAAAAGGCTGAAAACCCTAACCCTGACCCTAGCCAATGAAATTGACAGTCTTGTTATCCTGGGTCAGGAAAATGTGAAACTCTTCTCAGCTAGTGTTTTATTACATATACTGGATATAATTAATTATTTGTGAGTAATACATGGTAAATAAGGTGTCTTTAAATCGAAACATACATAGAACAAGGTCATGTATGGATCGGTTGATGAAATGTGGGGACCAGAGGCTCAGGGGAAGCTCACCCTGTATTTCCCCTGGAAACGGTGGTCCAGGATCCCCTCATTCAGGGCTCACGGCAACTTTATCGAACATAACAGCCACGAACAAGGAGAGCTGACTGTATCGGGTTGGCAGATGACTTTGAGAGACTCAGCTGCAAAGCCTTCCCCTTCCTAGAGATCCTCTCCGTGCTCGCATGGGTGCTGCCTTCATCCCAGACTCCCAGCGATGAGGACACCCCA